GAGAGAGAGAGAGAGAGAGAGAGAGAGAGAGAGAAATAACGGTTTTATACATTTAAAATTGCCCACCTGTGATACTGGTATCTGAGAGGAGGTGCGATGATGCAGGATAGCAATCGCATTAATTAACAACTAGAATACATCCCACCTAGGTGTTATCTCCACAAACAACGCTATAAGTGACAGCTTCTATTTGTACGCCCTCATTTCCAAATTGGCTAAGCTTCGACAACATCTTCATCAATGCAGACCGATATCGAAACTCTGTTACGCTACAAGACACCCCCTCCGGATCCGCTGGCGTTTGGTATTAATATGTACCTTGCTCGATTGCCAACAATTAAGTCAAACGGGAAGTGTAGGAACTGTGGCGGGATTGTGCCGTGGGCTCGCGATCGCGCCACTTCGCACAAACGAACCTCTTGTCCAAGCAATTCAGCTGAAGATAAGAAGAAGTTCTTCCAGGAAATTGGTGCTACCAAGAGGGGACAACAGACCGCAAACAACGTCGCAGTTCTTGCTTTCAGTTCCAGCAAATATAGTGGAGATGGGTGTGTGGTTGCATCTGAGGAGGCATCTTCTCCTCCTAAGCGGATCAGAATTGGCGATGTTGCGGCTTCGACATGGATTGATTGTCTATCAATGGCTGATCGAGATGGGATCACTGCGGCACTAGCTGCACTGATTTTCAGGACTGGCGTCCCGTTCCGAATTGTGGAATCTGGTGCAATGAGACATCTTGTCGACATTATCCCTCCATCACGTCCCGTTCATCCCAATGCAAAGCAAATTTCAGGCTCCATCTTTAACCAGTAGCACGACATTCTAATGGGGCGCGGTATTGCTGTAGTCAAATGCTGCGTCGTGTATACACATGTTTCAAACGGGTGGTTCAATTCGAGCAACGAACACCGGGTTGATTATGTCGTTTTGATCCCTGGTCGCAAGCTTTTTTTCTGAGGAGTGAGTCCACGGCTGGAATACCGCAGACCTCTGAAGCCATTGCGGATGCAATTTTGCGTGTTATTCGCGAACTCGGGGTGGACAAGTGCGTAGCTGTGGCCACAGATAACGCTGCCAACATGCAAGGCGCGTGGGATATCATTAAATCGACCTACCCTACCATTTTCGCAAATGGTTGTGCGGCACACGTTGTGAACCTCCTGATCAAGGGTATCTGCGCCTTGAAAGCTTTCTGTCCAACGTTAGAGAAAGCAACGAAAGTTGTTTTGTTTGTCAAAGAACAGCAGCACGTTGTGACGGCTTTCAGTACTACATGCGTGCAGTATGCAGTACTCTGTGATCTTGTCACGATAGTGCCGACTCGATGGTACACACTTTCAACCTATGCGAGACTCTTCTTCTTGTAAAGTTTGGCTCTTCTAGTAGACGATGTTGCTCCCATCCTAAGTACAATAAAGAACAAAGCTCGTGTTGCCGAGTTAAATCGATCGTCAGCGATGGTCTGTTCTGGTTGCAGCTACTTACAGCCTGGAAAATGCTTGCCTTTCCCAGCAAGATAATCGGGAAACTCGAAGGTGACTCGTGCTATATTTTTCGGGTTTACGAACACTTCACTCGACTTCATGCAAGCTGGATCAAGAGTGTTGGCGTTGACGTTGACTCGAGGGGTAGCAGCCCAACTCACAAATCTTACGGACAAGCGTTGGGATTTCCTCCATACATCTTTGATGGGGTACGAGTATCTTCTTACTCCCAAATCTACCCTTCGCAAGAGGAAACCCAAGGCCATGGTGAGCACGAAAATCGACTTAACCGCGTACTTCCTTTTCTTCTTCAAAGGAGATAAGAAACTCACCGCTACTTGTCGCTCGGAGTTGACGAGTATCTGAACTTGTTTGCAAGACTCCCCGACGACATTAAGAATGAGTTTTGCAGCATTTCCGGTCAGGCGTACTTGGCCCAATACGACCGAATGGAGTATACTTCACTAGCAAAGGTCGCTCTTCCGCTCTTTACAGTCCCAACTTCGCTGTGTAACGGGGTACAAACCCCAAGTGTACCCAAGTTACATGAAGAGTGACCAGTCACTCTTGTAACATCTGGTACATGGTACCAGGAGCTCTAGGAGCCAATCATTGC